CAGACGGGGCAGGACGAGGCGGGAGAGGGGCAGGGGCTACCGTGGGAGAGGGAGCAAGGAAAAGGGGGGGGGCAACTGGGAGACCTCGGTGAGGGAAGCGGCGGTAGAAGGAGACGGACTCGTCAAAGGTGACGTCACGAGAGTGGAGGAAGCGGTGAGACGGCGGGTGGTAGAAAAGCCAGTCAGACGAGTCCAGGGGGAAACCGAGGAAGACACAGGGGACAGTGCGGGCAGTGAGCTTGTCCGTGCCAGAGGCACGAACGTGAGCAAGGCAGCCCCAGACGTGGAACGCAGACGCGTCACCGGGGGACCCGGTCCAAAGGAGGGTCGGCGAAACCTGCGGCCGCTGGGAGCGTGGCCACAGGTTAAGCTGGTGAGCCGCGTAGCGAACAGCGAACGGCCACAGAAAATGGGGGGCATCGGCATGGATCATGGAGGTACGGGCGACCTCCATGACCAAGCCGATGCGGCGCTCAGCAACCCCATTCTGCTGTGGCGAGTCCGGCAACGTGTACGACTGGGTGATGCCCTCCGCACGACAGAACTGTCCAAGCCGACCAGAGGCGAACTCGCCGCCACGGTCGGAGTGGAGACACAACACGGGGAGACCGCGGTGGAGACGCGCAGCTACAACCCACGGGAGAAGAACGTCGGGCACGTCGGCCTTCCGCTCCAGGGGAAACACCGTGGTGTAGCGCGTGTAGTCGTCAACGAGCACAAGGAAGTAGCGCTCACCGCGCGGTCCGGGGACGGGGGCAGGGCCCCAAACGTCCAAGTGCAGGGTCTGAAGGGGGCAGTAGCAGGACGCAGCGAGGAGGAGTGAGGAGCACGGCGGAGCCGACCCTCGACGCAAGGCGTGCACGGTGGCGCAGTCGAGGGAGGAAGGGCAGGGAGCGACGCGGGGAGACCTAAGACAAGACCGTGCTGGGACATGTGACGCAGACGCGGGAGAGCAGGGTGACCTAAGCGGTGGTGCCAGAGAAGGGAGGGGTGAGTGAGGGACCGACACGAGCAAGCTGCAGCGACCTGGGAGGACGCACCAACCGGGGGGGAAGCGGTGTGTAGGGTAAACAGACCGGACACCGGGTCCCGGGGGAACGTCGCAAGGGGGGAACCTGAGACAGCCTCAGAACAGACAGCGAACCGCTCGTGCCCGGGGAACGTGGTGGTGACGCCGAGGTCCTGGAGACAGCCGACACCAACCAGGTTCCTGGAGAACGAGGGAACGTGGAGGCCTGTAAGGGAGCCCGAGGGAACTGCCGGACAGGGAAGGGACGTAGAACTGCGCGCGACGACCGGACCCGCAGAGGGGTCAGCGAGAGAGACAACAGCAGGTGCAGCAAGCGGCGTGAGCGTGGAACGGTCGCGGAAGAAGCAGGCAGAAGCACCAGAGTCGAGAGTGAAGGACAGCGACGCAGTGGCGGAGGCCGCGGACGGAGCCGGTGCAGCGACTAGACTAGGCAACCTAGGCAGTCCTACGCCTGTCGCAGCAGGGGAAGCTAAGCTACACAAGGGTGAAACACCTAAACTAGAGTACACATGGTAGTAAGATCCATCAACACTAGAAGCGTCAGCATACAAAGCATGCAAAGCAGCACCTATCTGATCCATGTCTAACTCAAAGATCGGCACGCCCTGGCGGAGCAGGCTGTGCCAGTCAGGGAGGTCCGGGGCCGGGCCAAAGCGACGACGAAAAAGATCGTCGAGGCGGCGGAAACAGTGGGCGGTCGGGTGCGGGCGGCGGCACAGAGTGCCGCGGAGAGGCCCGGTCTGAAGCTGGTACTGGCAGGTCACAGCACTGGAGCCACTGGTAGACGCCAAGCTGCGCGGGCCGCCACCACGGCCACCGCCTCCGGAGGTGCCGGGCCAACCAGGCGGGAGACGAGCCCACGGCTGCGGCGGGTGCTGCTGGGACGGCGGCTGCGGCTGGGGCTGGTCCTGCTGCTGCTGGGACTGCTGCTCCTGCCCACCGGTGGTAGTCCCCTTAGGCGGACTACCGTCACCACCACCACGACCACTACCACCTGCGTCACCACCCCTACCTCCCTGGCGGCCACGGCCACCGCGACGCGAGCGCTGCTGCGGGTGGACAGCAGCAGCCGTCTCGGTAAGAGGGGTCGCCGTGGCGACCGCAGCCGAAACGTCAGTGAACGTGCACGGGGATGAGGCACAACCGTGAAAGATAGAGACTGCCGGCGCACCGCTCGACTGAGCGATAGTGCGCTGGCGAGTCTCGATCTCAGTGAGGGTGTCGACAAAGGCGGTCAGGGTGAGGTCACCCGGGTGCTGGCTAAGAAAGTGGTCGCGAGCACTAGCGAGGCGGTCTGGCAGGCGCATAGCGATAAAATAGAGCGTCATGCAGAAAGGAGGGGGGAGCGCAGTGAGCTGGGCAGCAGTGCTGGCAGTGCGATAGCGAGTCTCTAGGGCACGCAAATGAGTGGCAAAATCTGCGACAGTAGGGAAGGCAGCCAGGTCTGGGAACAGCATCGGAAAGAGCAAGCGGCCAGCAGAAGCGGAGGCAGGGGTGGAATAGCGAGCAATAACGGCGTCTAAATAAGCTTTGGCCGTTTCAACAGTAGCAAAACGCGAGCGCTCAGACACAGGGAGGGCGTGACTAATAGCAACCTGAGCTACTGCATCGCGTGAGTCCCAGACCGCACAGGCTAGCGCAGCAGTAGAGAAAGCCTCACGGTCATCAGAGGAGGGGTCAGCAGGGAGGGGAGTAGGTGCAGGGGGACGGGGGAGCAAGCCATCAGCATGGACAACCAGAGAGTGGCCATCCTGGCGCTGACCTGTAAGCTGGCGGCGAAGATCGGAGAGCCAGGCGGCGAAGTCAACCGCGTGGCCCTCAGCGTCCAGGCGGAGCACAAAGTCAGCCATCGTGCAGGGTCAGCGGCACAGCTCCTCAGCGACACAGCGGCACAGCAGCACAGCTCCTCAGCGGCACAGGAGCACAGCGGCGCGGGGACACGGCGGCAGCACTCTCCAGTAGGGCAGCAGCTAGGCGTCCCAGCGCAGGCAAGCAGAAGACACAGGGCCCGAGAGGACACGGCAGGCCGAGCAGGGGAGGCGGGCAGGTGCTCTAGGGCCGGGCTGGTGCTGGGAGGGGCCAGGCTGGTGCTGCTGGGGCCGGTCGGGCACGAGGAGGGGCCGGGCAGCGCTGAGGAGAGGCCGGGCGGCGCTAGGAAGGGGCCGGGCGGCACTAGGAGGAGGCCGGGCGGCACTAGGAGGAGGCCGGGCGGCACTAGGAGGAGGCCGAGCGGCACTAGGAGGAGGCCAGGCGGGCGAGCGCTAACAGCAGGCGCGACAGGGGCCAGCGGGCGCGACGGGGCCTAAGGGGCGCGACGGGGCCCAGCGGGCACGACGGGGCCCAGGGGGGGCGCGACGGGGCCGAGGAGGCGCGACGGGGACCAGCGGGCACGACGGGGCCCAGGGGGGCCGCGACGGGGCCTAACGGGCGCGACGGGGCCCAGGGGAGGCGCGACGGGGCCTAGCAGGCGCGACGGGGCCTAGGAAGCGCGAAGGGGCCCAGCGGGCGCGACGGGGCCTAGGAGGGGCGCGACGGGGCCGAACGGGCCGCGATGGGGCCCAGAGGGGGGGGACGCGACGGGGCTTAGGAGGCGCGACGATGCCTAGGAGGCACGACGGGGCTCAGCGGGCTCGACGGGGCCCATGGGGGGCGCGACGGGGCCTAGGAGGCGCAACGGGGCCCAGCGGCGGCGCGTTAGGGCCTAGGGGTCGCGACGGGACCCAGCGGGCGCGACGGGGCCCCAGGGGGAGCGCGACGGGGCCTAGGAGGCGCGACGGGGCCCAGCGGGCACGACGGGGCCCAGGGGGGGCGCGACGGGGCCTAACGAGCGCGACGGGGCCCAGGGGGGCGCGACGGGGCCTAGGGGGCGCGACGGGCCTAGGAGGCGCGACGGGCGGAAGCGGTAGGCGGGGGATCCTAACCTAAGCGTGATACCATGTTAACGTAGAAACGAATGATTACTAGAGGTGGAAACCTAGAACAAATACTAGTTGGTTGTACTCACTAGAAGCATACCTCAGTCTAGCCTATAACTTCTACATAGATAATATGTATAAGTTGACAGGCTACATGTAGAATCACATCAGGGTATTTTGTAAAGGCACTTTTTCGCATAAGGGTGCGAACGATACACCACTTTTGAAAATCAGGGTCCCGTACAAACGTAGTTTTTTTTCATAAGGGTCCAAAACTAAAGCACTTTTAAAAATAAGGGTCCAACACCAACCCCCAGCCTTATAGTAAGGGCCGTAAGGGTATTTTACCCTGATATCCTGAGGCCTGTAGGTGACGCGACGGGGCCTAGGGGGCGCGACGCACGGGGGTAGATCCTAGGGCGGAAGCGTGGGGGGGGCGGTGGGACCTACCTACTGCTGATACCATCTTAGAATTGAAGAATTGTTGAATAGAGAGAGAGTACAAGGGTATATACCTAAGAGTGTTGTACCCTCTAAGAGCGACCCTATACAGTCTATACAAACATGAGTTATACTTATGTTTGGACAATATAACTTGTACACACACATTCTAGTTTCAATCATTTTCTTTCTGATATACACATGGAGTTCCAAATTGCAGCAGGCAGTGAACTTGAAAGGCACCCACAGAGTGGCGAGACTCACGTTACCCCACTCTACACCCACGAAAGCGCTACTTTCAAACGCAGTGCGTTTGAAGGCCGCGCCTCGCAATTTGGGCCGCGGGCTTTAAGACATGGCTGGGGTTAGTACGGCTTTGGTAGATTCCGTGTGCATAGACAGATAGGTACTTGGTAGTCACCTGTAGACTGACCGATCGGCGTGCACTGGTAGATAAATAGGAAAGGACCCCGAGACAGGTAGATAGACACCCGTTTTACCATAGACAGACAGATTTGAGTGCCAAGCAGGGGATTGACTTGTCCCCCTTCAAGGTGTCAAGTGGGAGGTAATTCAAGTGCCCTGTTTCTTAGAATTGGTACAACGCTTGAAAACGCGGTTTGAATGAATCTGAAGAATACATTTCACTACGAGTCATCCGGGAAAGACAGACGAATGCCCTTGATTCAGCGGCGGGCCCGCACAGCACGCGAGACCACGCGAGCGCGCAAGCTCGAGCTCTCACACGAACTTGTTCAACATCTGTGCGAGCTGTCCTTTGGAAACAGCACGAGTGATAGTCTCATGCGACGCCCCGTCCCTGAAGACCGTCACAACGGGCACGGACCGGACGTTGTGATTGGAGCACGCCTGGGGGTACTCGTCAAAGTCCATTTTGTAGAAGGCGATCCTCCCCGCGTACTCCTCCGCGAGCTCGTCAATGAAGGGAGCCATCATCTGGCAAGGCCTGGCCCATGTGGCGTAGAAGAAGACGAGCACTGGAAGGTCGTTATTCAGAACGAGGCTCGAGAAGTTGTTGTCCGTCACGGTACCCACGGTATTCGCCATCAGAATTAAAAAGGGTAACCGGTATCTTGTGTGAAGAGACAAGCCGATGAACGTGACGGGCCTTTGAGCAAATGGCTTGGGCACAAGACTAGCACGGCGCAGCAGATATACGATACAAGAGGCTGGAGATCATGACCAGAGGAGGGAGGTCGCGCTCGCGGGGCCATCGATTCAAACGTCCCCCGCAGCCAGCCTAATGCCTGGTGGGGGATGCTAGGTGATGCTGGTCCTGCTGGCTGGGTACCTCCGCTCCCCCGAAGCAAGAGTGGTGCGCTTTGAAACGCCCAGCAAGCGCCGAGTGACAGCCCTAGGTGGACTGGGGAGCGACCTGCAGCGATCGACTGAGGCAACTGGAATGTTACGGCCGGCAGTGGTCACTGAGGTCGTTCTTCTTGACTCTTCCTCACACGGTTTGCCTGCAGTGAGGCAGCGATTACAGTACACCCTAAATCTCGTAAGCATCATTAAGTGGATAGTCATTGCCGGCTTCTTGTCACATTGTAAAAAGGAGTTTCACATTACCCTGGACCAAATATGGCTCAGTGTGAAAAAACCAAACCACAGACCTTGAAGCCGCTGACCCAAAACGTACAAGACTAATAAACTTGACAGGGCAAAAAATTTGGGCAAGTCACACAGCAAGGGTTGTGGAGCACGGCTCAAGGTGGCGAGAGAAGGTCAGGGCTGTGCGAACATCGCAACTCCCTACGCGAACAAATTGCACAAAAGGCAGCAACAATACAACCAATCAGAACGAGGGAAAGCCAAGATGGCACAACCAAGAGAAAAAAAAAGACAAACAAATAGGAGTTACTGTCAACTTATACATATTATCTATGTAGAAGTTATAGGCTAGACTAGGTGTGTGCTTCTAGTGAGTACAACCAACTTGTATTTTTTCTGTGTTTCTCTTTCTAGTCACTCATTCGTTCTTACGTTAACATGGTATCATGCTTAGGTTAGGATCCCCCCGCCCACCGCTTCCGCCCGTGCCCTAGCTTAGGCCCCCGTCGCGCCCCCCCCCTGGGCCCCTTCGCGCCCGCTAGGCCCCGTCGCGCCCGTTGGGCCCCGTTGCACCTCCTAGGCCCCGTCACGCCCCCCCTGGGCCCTTCGCGCTCGCTAGGCCCCGTCGCGCCCCCCCTGGGCCCCCTAGCGCCCGCTAGGCCCCCGTGCGCCCACTGGGCCCGTCGCGCCTCCTAGGCCCCATCGCGCCCCCTGGCCCCCTTAGCGCCCGCTAGGCCTCCGTCGCGCCCGCCTGGGCCCTTCGCGCCCGCTCGGCCCCGTCGCGCCTGTTGGGCCCCGTCGCACCTCCTGGGCCCCCTTTCGCGCCCGCTAGGGCCCCCGTCGCACCGGCGAGGCCTCTCCCAGCGCTACTGCCGCCCGGCTCTTCCTAGAGCGCCCGGTCCTCCTCCTCGTGCCGCCCGGCCCCTCTCCTAGAGCCGCCCGGCCTCCTCCTAGCGCTGCCC